CATCAGTATCAGGAGTGGTATAATCTAAGGAGAACTAAGGTTATGACATCTGTATCAGGAGTGGTACAATCTAACGAGAACTAAGGTTATGACATCTGTATCAGGAGTGGTATAATCTAAAGAGAACTAAGGTTATGACATCAGTATCAGGAGTGGTACAATCTAACAAGAACTAAAGTATAAAAGCTGTGAAACATACCTGTGTTTCTGTAGTTTGAGCATTCTTTGCCATGGAATGGTTCAGAGCTATCTAAGGAGAACTAACATCAGTATCAGGAGTGGTACAATCTAATAAGAACTAAAGTATAAAAGCTGTGAAACATACCTGTGTTTCTGTAGTTTGAGCATTCTTTTCCATGAAATGGTTCAGAGCTATCTAAGGAGAACTAACATCAGTATCAGGAGTGGTATAATCTAACGAGAACTAAGGTTATGACATCAGTATCAGGAGTGGTACAATCTAACGAGAACTAAGGTTATGACATCAGTGTCAGGAGTGGTACAATCTAATGAGAACTAAGGTTATGACATCAGTATCAGGAGTGGTACAATCTGATGAGAACTAAGGTTATGATGTCAGTATCAGGAGTGGTACAATCTAAGGAGAACTAACATCAGTATCAGGAGTGGTATAATCTAACGAGAACTAAGGTTATGACATCAGTATCAGGAGTGGTACAATCTAACAAGAACTAATGTATAAAAGCTGTGAAACATACCTGTGTTTCTGTAGTTTGAGCATTCTTTGCCATGGAATGGTTCAGAGCTATAGTGTAGGTAACCTGTCTCATTTTTTGACCATTCTCAGGACACAACTGCCAGGAACTCTCCATTACATCTGCAGAAAGACTTGTTTGTTTACTAAGAATATTAAAGGTGTCAAACGAAAAACTGTTTCAACACATCACCTTCAGTGGGAACATTGTTCTGCATTTAGTCTTCTCTATTGAACTATAAATATATGGCGACATAAAATACGGTTGTATTACTTCTTATTTACCACAGACAGAATTCGCTTATTAATGTTAGGTACCGTAAAATTTGACAACCTACCTGATGAACGAGAGATTTTTATCTCAACAACTTTTAACTTTACTTGCAACAATGAGACTTACTGCTATAAATAGTCACACAAAAGATGGATCTTAAGTCATTTTACAATAATGGTAGTTATTGGCGAATGACCAAAAAGTTATGAGCCACAAAGCTACCTTATTGATTACAAGAAAAACAGCATTATCATTCTTTATCAATAGCATTTTAAAAACTAAAAACAAAGATACCAATCTGATCTACTCAAAAGTTATTGCTTTGACTAATCATTGTAAGTAAAAACAGAATAAAAAAAAGGGTGTTTAAATTGCATGTAGTAATTACCAATAATTCTTGAGTGAAAGAAAGCTAAGTTTATAGATAAGATCTGAAATGAAACTTAAATAAATTCACTAAAAAAATGTTTGTTTGTTGAATTTCACATAAAGTTATTTGAGAACTATCTGAGCTAGCTGTCTCTAATTTCGAAGTGATAGACTACAGGGAAGGCAGCTATTCAACACCATCCACCACCAATTCTTGAGCTACTCTTTACCAAGGAATCAGGAACAGGTTTTGATCCCTCAACCCACAGATTGCAAGTCAAGCACCCTAACCACCAGCCTATGCCGGGCCTCACTAGAAATACTTCATGTCATAAACCAAAGAAAACTAACACCAGTAATTTTCACATTATTTTTTTATTCAGCACAAAAATGCACAATGATTTATCTGAGCTGGGCCCACTGCAAGGATCAAACCCCAAATTTTACCATTATAATCCCTACATCTTACCACTGAGGATTATGATTAGACATTGATTCATCAGTTGTGTGCCTCACAGTCGATTCATGAATTTCACTAAACATACAGTTTGTAAATTCTACTCAAAACTTTTTTTCAATAGCATTAAGTGACAACCAGGACAACGAGTGGAATCCATACAAAAACAACCAGGACAACGAGTGGAATCCATACAAAAACAACCAGGACAACGAGTGGAATCCATACAAAACAACCAGGACAACGAGTGGAATCCATACAAAAACAGACAGGACAACGAGTGGAATCCATACAAAAACAGACAGGACAACGAGTGGAATCCATACAAAAACAGACAGGACAACGAGTGGAATCCATACAAAAACAACCAGGACAACGAGTGGAATCCATACAAAAACAACCTGGACAACGAATGGAATCCATACAAAAACAACCAGGACAAGAATGAAATCCATAAAAAACAACAAGGACAATGAGTGGAATCCATACAAAAACAACCAGGACAACGAGTGGAATCCATACAAAAACAACTAAGACAACAACTGAAATCCATACAAAAACAACCAGGACAACAAGTAGAATCCACACAAAAACAACCAAGACAACGAGTGGAATCCATACAAAAATAAGTTGGAGTATTTAGTTGGTTAATTCTTGTGAGTAAGGAACCTATAAAAAAATATCTTTGACAAAAAGATCACCTGATAAATGATTGTGATCTTGTTTACTTACTGTTCAGGCCTACAAATTTCAACTTCATAAAAGTTGTTCCATAATTCAGCTACACAGATTTCGAAAATAATATTCATTTTTTTCTACCACATAAGAATTTTTTACCAATCGGGAAGAAAGAAAAAAAACTCTTACTTAGATCA